ATTTGTATTGGCCATGTACGAATATGGGAATATATTTTTGTCTGCAATGAATTGCCACCAATGCAAACACTGTGTAATGGTGCATTGAAACATAATCTTAATCGAGATAATGCACATCAATCTCATCTGACGTCGTGCATACCACATATAGGCCGTGAGGGATCGAAAATTGACATCAGATTTATTGGATGCTCTGAAGCCTGGAAAATGAATAATACAAAGATCTCGACTGGCACTTTCCATGGAGACAAATCTGAAGGGGATCCTGACAGGACTCGGAGTTATATCTGAAGATATAACTGCGGACCGCACCGTCAAACTCTTTCCATCGTGGAATGGAATTAATCATCTCCTGGCGCATGCGATGGCGGTCAATGGATTTCTGGGGACATGGTGATTGATGAATGGTATGCCATCTGGGGAGACACAGGAGCAATGGTCGATGTTGAGGATCCTGATGGAGACCAATGCGCTCAAATTTGCAATCTACGACTGCCTGTAGGTATTTCCATCGGATTTATGCTTCTCGAGGGAACATGAAATCGATTCTAAATTTGTATTGGCCATATACGAATATGGGAATACATTTTTGTCTGCAATGAATTATCACCAATGCAAGATCTACAATGAGCTGCTGGAATATCATTTTATCGGTCTAAAGAGGTTTACAAAACCTGGGATCATGATTTCCGACATTGGGGGCAGCCTGTTGTAAGGAACAATAAAAATCACCGGCAATAACAAACATATGATTTTTGGGGGGGTGTGTAAAATCCTACCTTTCACGAAATAAAATTATATTTTTTTTAATGATATTCCAAGCTGTCTGACAAATTGCATAGACATCATGTACCCTATTAAACATAAATCTCAAATAAATCAATTTTCCAAGAATAAAAATAACATAGGCCAAGAAAGAAAGCCGGAGTAGTAATTATTCAATTATATCAATAATATATCTTCATTTGTAATAATTCAAATTACGATATGCCTTCCAACTAAAAAATAGAAAATTCAATACCTCCTTAAATATCTATAAAAATCATTAAAAATCTATACAAAGAAAATATAATATCTGTAAAATATATCAATTTCAAAGAATTATATAAACGAAATAAAATATCGATAAATCAAAATATACGACCCTTATAAATAACGTAATCCTCAATCATGGTCCTTTTATAAGCGCTATAATAAAATCTTTTATTCCTATAAATTCGAGTTAATTACGTCACGCGATCGTAACAAACATCCCCCAAACTTCATTTGCCTTCGTGCAAATTACTAAAAATACATTTAAAAAATCTACAATTTCTATTAATCAATACAAAATAAATATAATTTCCCACATAAAATATATAAATTTAAAAAAAACAATAAATCTACCAAAATTTAAATTAATAATAATATTTATCAATATATATATATATATTTATATATAAATCTATTAAAAAGATAATTCGAAAAATATTCGAGCATTAATAAAGGGTCCATATCTTTGTCGCGAGAATCGATTATTTCTATATTTCAATGGCCTATTCTGTTAAACCATTAACATATCAAAATTTTGTTAAATTCTTTGTATGGTCGCATACATATATATTTATATCCTTTGGATGAAATTGTTGTTTTGCTCTACACATTCTTCAATGTGCGGGTTCTTCAAGTGTTGAAACGAAATCATTGTTCGTTCCCGCAAAGGCCGGGCTTTGATGCAAAGCTTACCATCAGAACCAGGCTTTGGGATCTTGAAGCAGGCAAGCTGAGAGCATTTGTTGGCCACGGCGAGCCATGGGACTCACAAGATTTCACAAGCAGAAAGTATGAAATAGAATGACAACCTTGCTACAAGTAGCTTCTAGCTACTAGTAATGCCGTAATGCCCTTGTTACTCGTGGCAATGCGCTGTTCACAAGCAAAAGATTTAGCTACACGATGCTACACGGCTCTGAAACAAGTCTTTGTTCCACACACTCACCGTGGAGAAATTAATTCAAAATCATTCAAAAGGACACGATCGATCTCCCGGGGGTCATGGTGCCTGCCAGGAGTTAAGCGATGCGGCTGTGATGCATGCGGGTTCGGTTTTTGGAGGTGTGTCAGGTAGATTTCAACATCTCCGAGGTTTACATATCTTTGGAGGCTCCTCTAAGTCCGTGTTCGGTACCTCAGATCCTGTGTACCGCTGGTTCAAGAACCCTGGGAACCCAGAAGTAAGTAACTAAGTATGCTTTTGATTGATTTTACTTGCTCGACCACTAACTCCCTTCACCAAACCCCACCAACCCTTCTGACATCGCCTGCAGCCTTCGGGTCGAGATAGGCAGATCCGGCTTCCTGGTGTTCCGAGCGTCTTGTACGGCACGGAGGCCCCGTGGTTGAGGCCCAAAGAGGTCGTTGGTGCTACATCTGCTGCCGCGATGCGGTGGCTCAACAAAGACACCCCCCCAAAAGTGTCATTTGGAAGCATGCTGCGTGGCTTGTAGGCCACGTGCGGGGCCGAAGTTGCTACAAGGAACTCGAAGGGGGTTGCAGTTTCGTTTCTAGAGGCAACCTGGCATAAAACTTGTGTTGCTCTCATCTATTGTGGAACACAAGACGAGGAACAATAAAAATATACATATATACACCTGTATGGATCAGGAGGAAGATGCCCATCTCCAGTTTGGGTCGCGCCCAATCTTGCAGCCACAACACTTTTGCCTCGAAGATCAGCAAACAACAAGTTGTTAGCACAGGAAAGGGACTCCGGGACACCAACGGTTGTGATCCAAACCCAAATGATTGCGCAGAATGGTATGAGTATGTTTGAGTAACCAATACTTGGCAAGCGGGTGACTCTAGCTCAAGTAGTGCACATGTAACACGTCTCACAAAAACATATTTAAAGCCATAGTAAGAAACAACAAGCAACAACCTCCAACCTTTTCTTTGGAAAGCTTCCCTCCTCAAGTACAGCTCTTTGTTTTCCAGAGTCTTCCAGCTGAACAAAGAAAGGCCTTGTCCACCGATGGTGGAATGCATTCTTCCGGCGGATCTGGAACGACCTAGCAGCTGTCTGTTGGACATGCCGAACGTAGAGACTCGAGACCCACGGTCCCAAAAAACAGTGTTTTTGTTGAGTTTTTGCACCAGGACGCGTTTGCTGTACATGTACTTGTCTCGCGTGTTTCCATCATGTGCGCTTTCTGATGGAAGAAACTGCTCAGAAAGACCAAACCCCAACCTGGAATGTCCCTCATGCACATTGACAGAAGAACACCTGCCAGTAAAGACTAATTTTGGCATGTTCTTTCTATCCCGTCAACTAATGTCAAACAGTCATACCTCGCCAGAGTGTTGCCTTAAAATTGTCAGTCTAAGGAAAATCATGGGACCGAATCCATGGTGGGAGTATTTGGGATCTCCTCATCACAAAGCAGGGAAGTATGTGGGGTCTCTCAAACTGGAAATATCAACAAACAGTACAGTTTGGGATGTTATTCAACAAATCAGCACTCCAAATTGTAGACTTGCCGCAACATATCTCCAGTCTCCAATTATTTGACACTTGAAGAACATGCGACACTTGCACGCAAGTAAACGGTGGAGTCTTTGCTTATCTTCATTTATCGTTTAAAACACATGAAGAAACATATTACATCATAGTACACTGTACCAAATGGGAGGAGGCTCCACTACAAACCACCCTTCATTGAACCACAACATCTGCTGGAGAAGTCTGAAATTGTATAGAGAGGCGTCAAGAGGCTGCAAGGAAAAACATGAAACAGATCTGGACACCTGCTCTTCCAAAGCCTGCAAACAGAACTCCACCATCTCATCCGCACCAACTCATACCAGTTCTGCGACCCCAACCGCCCCAACCCATCGAACCAGCAAAAAACATCCTCACCACCAAGAACTTCTGCCACCGCGCCTCCTCTGGCACGTCTCCAGCACCGTGTTCTGTTGGGATAGTGGCCTGTGCGGCCACGATGGCCTCCACCCTAATTACTAGCGATGGCCTCCAACCTAAGAGCGATGGCCTCCACCCTACTAGCGATGGCCATGGCCTCCACCCTAAATGACGGTCACTGGCCTGTGCGGCCACACTGGGTTCGCTTTGGCTCTGCAGCATCTCCACCGATGTCGGTGGGGGTGAGCTGAGGGACGGCACAGAGGCGGAGGATTTGTTCACCTCGACGCGAGCCACCAGGGCGAGCTCGGGCTTTGTTTCCAAGCCATGGCTACTAAGTACCAAGAACATGGAAGAAAACATCACTTTGGGATTGATGCTGGTGAGCAAGAGTCGTGGCTTTGGGTCCCCTCCATATAATATATATTAAGAAACGCTTGAAAGGGCGATGCCACGCGATGCCACTATGCCAAGCTTCCAATTCAACGCCTCGTCGCACATGGTCCAAGGCGCCTGGATCGGCCAGCTTGCAATCACCCAACGGCAGAGTGCCACAGGTCACCAGTAGGTAAGGTACAACCACCCTACAGGCAAACGTTTCTGCCAGAACCTGAAAATCAGCCTTCTCATCCTTCTCAAGGTATTGTGCCTATTTTGTGTTCCAACGCAGCCTGCGGTGGAAAAGGCAGTATATAGACTCGAGAATCACACGTATCATCCACCACTCTGGCGAGTGAAGGGGAGTCTTGCGCAGCTTTGTTGAAATAACTTGTTAGATGTCCTAAGAACTTCCTGGAAGTCAAATTGCTAGCAAGAAATCCTGTACCACCACTAGGTGTTTTTCGACTATAGTTCAGGTCAACCATCTTCTTTATCAACACCAACCAGCTGACCTTTTGTTGGCGAACCACAGAGTCGGCCAGACCAATCCCCGGAGTATTAACGTCCTACCTTGCCAAGGTGACATTTCAGTAATTGAGTGGTGCCAAAGGTGTATCTTAATCTTTTTAGAAAAGGTAGTCTGGTATGATCATTCCCCACAACCTTCTCCAAAGGGGTGGGACCCAAGGATAAAGCAACAATTCTGAAATCTTGGAACAGGCCACCAACAGACTGAGCCTTATGAAAACCTGTCCCCTTCAACCCCGACACGGACCACGCAGGCACAAAAGGATGGTCTCAAGCAATTCCTATGTCTGTAGGTGACTTGGTCTCTTTTGTTGTGTCTTTCCGACGTTTGTTCTTCTCAAATCGTGACTTCAACCAATAGGACTTCACTATGGCGCCAGCAAAGGGGGATCTTTAAAGACAGGCCGTCGGGCCGTACAAGTATTCCATAGTATTCCGGACAATTAGGTTTGAGTTGACTTCTACTCTGCCAGTATTCGTTCCGGACTTCCTTGTGACAGATTCAAAGAAGTCTTCCCAGCCCAAATAAAACCAATGCCAATCGATGCAATTAATTGCAAAAAGAAACTTAAATGTTCCTACAATGTTCCTACAATTCTAGAGAAAGGCAGACTGTTCAAGCTTCATGTCACTTGCTATTTACTTTGTCGTTACTTGTTCCAATTGAACAAATCCATCTTCCTGCACCTCCCCGCACCTCCCTCGCTCCCCACCAGCCTGGAGCGCCCGCCCTGGCCAAAGCGGTCGTTTCGAAGCGCTCTCTGATTTGGGGGCCCTCTCCGTTTTCAAGCACCTGACAAAGGTCGTAGACCGACTTAACTGATTGGTCTTTGGATTCCAGGTTCTTCTTGAATAAACAATGAGAAACACATAACACATAGAAACACCCTGATAAAATGTAAAATTTATGGTCTATTCACTCCCACCTCCTTTATTCTCTCCATGTTGACATACAGGCATACCGGCCATGTCGCCAAGTCTGGGCATGAAGTGCCTCCGTTCATCCAACGCCTGGCTTAGCCCCTTCTTCAAATTCATCAAGCAACCAAAACAATCCCAAAGATTTGCCTGAGGCGACACACTTCGACACTTCGACACTGGTTTTCCGTTAAAGCTCAATTTCTCCGCTGGGA